ATGTGCTGTTCAAAGAGGGTGAGTTTAATGTCTAAAAATTGAATAACACTTTCTACGGGTACTTCATGCGTGACCTGAACCCAGGATCCCTGGGTTCGTCAGCGCGAGTATGCGCTAGGATCTGGGAAAAAATGCGTCCGCGGATGTTGACGGAAAACTCCCCATTAGTCGTGTAGCAAGCTTGAATAAATAAAATTAAAGAGGGGGCAACCCCACGTGAGTCAGATTTCCTTGGCATTATTAGATAGTGAGGTCCTGATCCCTTATTATCATCTCTAGGCATCTTCTTCGAGGTCGTCGTACAAGTCGTCCTTCAGGTCGTCCTCTAGGCGTCGTCCTCTAGGCGTCGTCCTCGAGGTCGTCCTAGAAGTTGTTCTTGAGGTCGTCCTTGACGTCATCCTCAAGGTCGTCCTAAAAATCGTCCTTAAGGTCGTCCTGGACGTCGTCCGTGAGGTCGTCCTCGACGTCGTCCTTGATGTCGTCCTGGAGTCGTTTTAGACGTCATCCTCTAGGCGTTGGACTCGAGGTCGTCCTAGACGTCGTCCTCTAGGTATCGTCCTAGACGTAAAGATAACAGCGTCGCTGGTCCTCCATCTTCACGTAAAGTGAAAGCTAGGGCTCTACATTTTTTTTTCTTTTGCGCGTCTTATTTTTTAAAGATTTACCCTTGACTGTATATACCCACCGGCGCATGCTTCTGGGGTCAAAAGCCGTGCCGACGGTAGCGGAACGAAGTATGCGCGAATGCTTCGCTCATGAAACGGGTTCCTTTGCACATGCGCGCTACCCACCGCTTCGGTGGGAAAATACGCTTGTTCATAAACAATACGAAGCATTTGTGGCCAAGTGTAGGAGTGCCCCACAGCTTGGGTCCCTTGGTGCGATTACAAGATCCAGTGACTTTAGTTAGGTGAGATAGCTCGCGCTGCAGAACCTGTAGGGATCCCCGCTCGTATCCATTTGGAGAAGCAGCGTGCGGTCGCGTAATTACTACTGCTTGGTGAACGCTCAATAGCCCAGATTTAGCAGTCACACTACTCTGGCTAAATGCCTCATCTGCAGCGTAGACCAGATACTTCATCTGGTCTACGCTGTAGATGATTCCTCATCTACAGCGTAGATTAATACGAACGCCAGACACACCCCGCTGCTGAACCTCTGTCGTCTGCGTCGCTGCCCGCCGTATACCCTGGCAAGTTTCTTGGCCTTATTTTTTACAGAAAAAAAAACTACGCTTTGTACTTTTACAAGAAAAATCCGACTTGTGAAATACACCTTTGACAAAAAGTTTAGATTACATACGTGCAGGCGTCGATTTTTACGGTCCATTTTAGATCGAGCCTGGCGACTTGGACCACCCTATACATCAACCGCATACATGACGCAAGCACTTTTTAAATCGGCACAAATTTGTATTGAAAATGTCTCTATCGGATGAGTCTAGAAGGTTTAAATAGTTTTCAATGCGACCCGATGGTGACATAAAGTTTCTGGGGTCAACGTGGAACGTGCGGTGATTTCGAACATTTCTTCCAGGTATATGATAGTGCACAGATGAGACTAATGAGCTGATGTCGAAGTAACGGTGCATACATTTAAACAAAAAATACAAGGTCGCTCGAACACAGTCTTGTTGCCAGTTCAGATATCTGTAATGATTTCAGTACTTCTAGGTATACGCATGAGTCATGTGAACGTCTAAAATTATAAATCCTGGATAACCTTATCTGTATACGTTCTAGTTTTTTTTTAAGCAGTCATACTAAGACTGTTCCACATGACCGAACAAAAATCATGTTTTGGAAGAACTATGCTCCGGTAAATCCCAAATAAAAGATATACGCTCGAAAAACTTTGTTAAATCGTGGGATTACACCGAGAAGTCTAAAACAAGAGCTCACAACATGCGACACATGCAAGTTGAAAATAAGTTTGGAGTCAAGAAAAACTCCAAGGTCTTTTACACACAGTACACGGTTAATGGCCGGTCTTTCTAAGCGGTACACAAAAGAAGTAGGAGTAATCTTGCGCGTAAAAGATATAACATTCCTTTTATCAAAGTTGAGTGTACGACCATCCTCTAGACACCATAGGGTTAACATCTTCTTGAAGTAGAATAGTCACTTAATGTCAATGGGTTTTTGTAAATTTTGATATCGCCTACAAACTACAAGATACGGGAATACTGAACGACGCCTTGGATGTCCTCGACGAATACATAAAGAAGACGAGGTCCAAGGTTGGAGCCCCGGGGTACCCCAGATGGTACAGGAAAGAAGCGCGACTTTGCGTGAGCATAGCTGACATTATTCGCTCTTCCAGAAAGATAACTGTCGAACCGAGAACAATAATCATCAGTTAGACCGTACACAGAAAGTGTATGTAAGAATAGCTCATGATTCACATGGTCGGATGCCTTACTACAGTTAAAGTACACAGCATCAGTTTGTCCCCGAGAAAATCAGTGGGTGCAACATCTTTTAAGAAACACATACGATTCGTCTCAACAGAACGACCATGCACTCACGAAACCGTGTGGCGTATCACGCGCGTAAAATAATGTGTCAAATCCTTATGAATTATCGTTTCGAACACCTTCGAAAAGAACAACGAGTAAAGATATCGGTCTATAGTTCTGAACATTTGCTGTGCTACCAGATTTGAAAAGTGGAATTGCTAAGCCGTTTCTCCAGGCAAGCGGGAAAACTGATTACTCAGTGACAAATCAAATATGTGTTGAAGTACCGGAGCTAGAATGTCAACGCACTTTTTAACAATAAAGTTTGCTATGCCATCAAGGCCGCATGACTTTTTAGATGGGAGCTGACGAATTGCCCCTGTAACGTCGTCAAGACTGATAAGAGGAGGTAGAACGTGGTATTGAACAGCATGTGAGACGTCTGAGCTATCAACAGTGGCCGATGAGTAGGTAAAAGACAAAAAATCAGCAAAGTGACTGCACACAGTTTTAGGGTCGGGGGCATATTTTCCACCTATCTTCAGTGACGTCAATACCTGCCTATTGGACCTGCGCTTTTTAACTAAACGCCAAAAATCCTGTGGACGCGTAGAAACGTTGTCTTCAACGTGGTTTCGATAAGATTTTTCGCAACACCTGTGCAAGAAGCAGACGAACTTGCGCTCCGCATGGAAAAATGTCTGCACCGTTCTCAAAGCGCTAACTTTTAAATCTAGTTATCGCAACAGGTATGGCTCCAAATGAGCGATATAGCAATCCAAAGCTAAAGATACTCCTGGCAAATGAACTAATTTGCGAAGAAGCAGATAACAAAAATGTTTCTTCACTCTAAGAAATCTGGCGTGTCTACCTTACCGGAAAGCAATTGGAAGAACAAATCCCTGCAATCTACGTGGGACGCTCAACGAATGACGGGGCTGATAACATGGTTAAATCCCCCCCCCCCCCCCCAAAAAAAAAAAAAAGAAAAAAAAAGATAAGGGTTTATGGTATTGAGCACGGTGAAACGTCACGCACATGTAATGCCACAGCGCAAACAGTTTTTATTTTTAAACATATTATGAGCCCCGTTATTGTCCAGCTCTCCCCGTAGATTGCAGCGATTGGCTCTCCCTAATACATTGCGGGAAAGACAGAACACCGGTTTTCTAGAGAATCTCCAGGTGGCGATGGTGTGCAACGTGTAGCGCCCAATTGTTGCTTTCGTTTGTCCCCCCCCCCCTCCCCCCCAAAAAAAAAACATTTTCATGAACCCCCGCCTTCCGCCCCCCCCCCCCCCCCCTTTTTTTTTTTTTTTTTCTTCTTCTGTTAGCATTCGACCCTCTGGGGGTCAGCTATCCGATCCAGATACTGAAATCAGTTTGAGAACGCATTTTTAAGTCTTGGTTGGAATTTGTATCGCACGCTCCCCCTCCTACGTTGGTTGCATGCATGCATGAATGAAAATAAAAACGTAAGCAGACACGATCCCGTCGGCAAACTTGGAACGTTTGGTGAGCCCGCGTGCGCATTTCCTGTACTTCTTGAGAACTGCGTGGGACGGTTTTGGGTTTCGTAACGAGTTCTGCAAGCGCAGTAACGCAAGACCGCCGCCGCCGTCTGCACGGTGATAAACAGTTCGTTAGCACACTTAGCCCTCGGGGCTCGCTATCAGGCGGGCGGGAGACCGCCAAGACTGCGCTGCGAAACAGACGAGAATTAAGTGGCACTTGTCGACATTCGCTGGAAAGACAACGCGCGTCGGGGTGCCTTGCGGAATCCGACGACGAACCCAACAGGACGCCTCGTGCGCCTTTCCTCCGAGCCGCCGACGCCACGGGAACTTGAGCTAATGAGAATTCGGACACATCTTCAGGTTTTTCTCCACGATTTACTCGCGAGGCAACTGATTGATTTTCGCTCGATCTGTCCAGCTAGCGGATGAACAGTATCGAGAGTTCTGTTGGTCGTTTAGCACCTTAAGGCATTCGTTCGTTCATTCATTCATTGCCTCGTGAAGATGAAATCTATAACGATGATTATGGGTGCCCTCCAGCTCTCTTAACGGAGCCAGAAAGGTATGTACTCCTTTTGCCAGTGCGACTGCATGGTCATTGGAGCGCAGTATATATACCAATCGCACCTTCGAATGGGTCCAAGTGAAAGCCTCCTGGAGCATTTGGGAGCCTGCAGTCCCGTCGGCGCGGCTAGTCCAAACCCAGAAGCCCACGTGGCTGCAGGCTCCCGCCCGCAGTTCCTCGTCCGGGACGTCCGACAGGTGTGCGCTCGGGGCGCAAACACGCGCCCCGCGGACCCCGCCAACGCTGCACCCGGGCGCTGGGCAGAGAAGGGCGGCGAGGAGGAACCCCGGCCCCACGTGACGCGGCCGGTGCCTCCCCGCGGGGCCCGCCCCCGACGTCCCGGCGGGGCGCACCCGGGGCGCCCCGCAGATCCCGCGCACGTCCCCCGGCCCCATGGATCTCGGCGGAGACAGGCGACCCTCGGAGGCCCGTGGCAGCAGTCCGCCGGCGGCGATGGCTAGTCCCGGCGATCCCCCTTCGGACCCCGGCCCGGTGTCCGGACCCGTGGCTGCCGTGCCACCCCTGGTGGTGTCGTCGTCGTCCGGAGGCGCGCCCGTGGCCTCGGTGGCACCCATGGTGCCCGCGGTGCCCAGCGTCGTCCCGCTGACGGATGACGGACGCGAGAAGTGGGACAAGAAGATCGAGTTCCTGCTGGCCGTCATCGGGTTCGCAGTGGACCTGGGCAACGTCTGGAGATTCCCGTACATCTGCTACCGGAACGGAGGCGGTACGCTAGCACGTTCCTCACCTTCTTTTCTTCCCTGTCTCTGAGCGTCAGTGTTGCGCGTTCCAGACTCTCGCAAGTTCCTGAGTCACTGACGGAAAAGCAGAGCGTGGTGATTCCCTAGCATCTCATTATCGCCCCACAGCCAATGAGATTGCGGCATTAGCCGATACGACCGCTTTAGAACCAATCAGGAAGCAAGAAGCTTGGGCACAATAAGCCACACCCTCTGTTTCTTGAGCTGTCATAGATCATAGACGTCTGCCCAAATGACTTAGCCACCTCCGCAAAGATAGTGAGCGTATCACTTCGAGGGGAGCGGTGGCGATAGGTCTTTCAGCAACGGCACACGAAAGCCATCGGAGACTCTGCGTACGCAGACACGTGGAAACAGGAACCATAGTTTACTCTGCAACTTGTCTGTGACTTTATGGAAGCAAGTGGACCTCTGCGTTTCTAAGCACTAGAAAGTTCGGTCATTTTACTCTCTTCACTCGTTAACATGACTGGTACCACGACCTGAGCTGTAAATACCGCACAGGTCAGAGCAGTTGCGATATTGAATCCATGGCCTCTTTCTGTTTACGAAAATGGCGTTGCTGGCTGAGCGAAATACAAATACTGCCCTGAGCTAGATCAAATCATTTCAATTCAAATTCCAATTAAATTTCATTTGTTTTTCTTTATACAAGAGAGGGAAGAGGGGAAAAAAGCGGTACAAGAACTGCTTGACAGAGTTCCCTCCTCTCCCTACAGCAACAGCAGCAGTGCACTTTACTCACACGAAGGAAAAAAACAAAAAAAAAAAAAAACACAAATAAACACGGGAAACAACAAAAAATAAAAATTAACAAAAATAACAAAAAAAAGTTTTCTATACACAGTAAAACAATGGCTATAAATAGCTCGACGAGACGAGCAACGAGCGTATATTTCTGCGAAACACTTTCATTGTCCATTCCTATTTCCTAGTGACAAAATTAAACTTCGTACTTTGGGGAGCTGATGCTTAATCATCTGACTTGTATACCGTAGTTCGTTCTGGTGGGGGGTACTGTCCAGGTACAAGCATGGCGTGTGGAATACAAAGGGCGTTTTAAGTGAAAATAAGGAAGAGTGATGAAATGACTTCTCAGATTAGCACTCCAAGCTGTTTTATATGATAGGCCAAGTTTCTAACCATAAGAAAATTGTTATTGGAACTATACCTAATTTTTCGAATATTGGTACCGTGTGGCTGTCATGCTTTGCATTGTCCAAAGTGCGAACTAATTTTTTCTGCAGTACATGGTGAATATTTGTAATAGCAATATTTTCCCAGACAAAAAAAAAGTAATTAAAACAAGCATAAAATCAAGAGTTATACATAAGTCGTAAAATAGAGGGAGGTAATGCTTTTCTTTTTGTTTTTCTTATATATTGCTCTTACTCCCTTTGAGAGTGTTTTAGAAATTCGAACTTAATCGTCCCATTGCATGTATTCAATAAATATTACGTCAAGTGTAACTAAATAGCTATCATTGCCCTTTCTTAGTCAGTTGAATTTATATACTAAAAATAGATTGTTAATCCTGGAAAACTGATTAGGATTGATATTGACTCATGAGCTCCTGGCGAAAGAGATGGGATATTCTAAACAACGAGAATAGCAAGTAATATTGCCTTAAATAGGCCAAACAGACTCAGTTAAAAAAAAAAAAAAGAAAAAAAGAAAGAAAAGAAGGCGTTGGTCTGTTTGTTTACCACCGAGACCACATGCCTCTTGAAAATGCTTATGTCCGTTCTCATTTGTTCCCCCTGCCCAAGGAAGACCAATGATCGGTGTTTTCGCTCGCATCGTGGTACAATATGCACTATGGGACTTCTGAAAGTTCAGGGGGAAGAATTTGCACGAACGTGAGCATGTTGCTTTTCTGTCAGACTTAGAAATTTATTATTTGTTTAGCTTTATGACCAAACGAACCACGAAGGCATAGTGGAATCTGTCAGAAAAAAGAAAGTTAAAAAAAGGAACTTTCTAGAAACGTCAGAGTAGCAGCTGATATTTCGCTATGGAACTTCGGCTCCCAGAGGTCTGGCAGTGCACATTTCATCTAGATGAGGGGTCTCAAACATGTGGCCTGCGGGACGCATGAGGCCCGCGACTCGCTGGAACGAGGCCCACAGACATCCCGCGGCTGCGAGCCCTCTTCACTTGTTCAAGTGCCGCAAATGATTTGTACCATAGAAGGCTAAGGTTCATTCTTTCGTTTCCTCTAAGTGTTGTTTAGCTTTCAGTCTTCTTTCCACCTTTTTCTCATTGTAGTCACCTGTGCGACAATCCCACTACTAGGCCACAAGCGCGGGCTTCTTGCTCAGGGACACACCTCGTATGCATAAGCTTTTACGTTGCAGGACTAACTGTCAAAGCCCATGACCCTGAGCTTCTCACCTTCATTGGTGCACGTCGTAAGTTAAAATGATAAATAGGCGGCCAGAAAATAACACTCAAATGCGAGATTTAATTCTTATAATGAAATCAAAATTGCCAGAATAGCAAAAAACAATCGCGTAGAGAGTTTTTTTTATTCAATAATGTTGAGCTATAATAATTTCCGGGTGAGTCAAATGACAGGGCAACGACGGTATGTCCTCTTGTTCAATTGAAAAATGTCAGCATGTTCTCAGAGTGGCGCCATTTTATTTTTTCTTGCCCCATCGGGTATTTCTCCAAAGTAGTAACATAAACTATTTAAAGCTGAAGATGACACTGGCGAAACGGCGAGTTTACAAGCAGCATAGAGTGCGAAGTCGATATTTTAGCATTTCTGGTAGACAAAACTGCTGCGCAACGTGGACCTCCAAAGCTATTTTTCTTTCCCCTAAAATACCCCCTCCCCCTAGTCAAAAATGGTTTTCATGTCACTGATGCCTTCACTCATGCGTGGGATTCAAACCGTGACGACCTATCAGCTTGATAGGTCGTCACGACCTATCAAGCTGATAGGTCGTGACGGGGACCCGGTGTTTTCAGGACGAAAACACCGGGTCTCCGCTGTGAGCTCCGGGAGCGTGTAGTCCGTTCGATCTATAATCGGTGGCAGGCGTCCCCAACTTTCTTGGACATGAGTTCTCCTCGGCGCATGCACGAATATGAGGATTTCGACTCGGCAACGACAAACATCGCAAAGTTTCCCGGGAATATTCAGATGACAGCCACGAAAATTCAATAAGCAGTGATAAAACGTTTGGATTCATATAGCTTTTATTCCACAGCTACATAGTTTTTTGTTTGCATTGAAATTTATGGGTTACATTCACAAAATTGTAAATTTATGCCTTTCTTAACAAAAGAGCGTAATGTTTCCGAGGACTGTAACTGCCTGGGTAATGTGGGCATCTTAGAGCATATCAATTCCAAAATAACTAACGCCCTGGAATCAGTTCAAAGTCGCTCTGCTCGTTTTATTCTTAATAACTTTCATCGCACCGCAAGCGTGACCTCCATGAAAACTAACCTATCGTTGCCTAACCTCAATTTATGTCGCAACACAGCTCGCTTGTGTCTCTTTTATAAGATATACCAAACCGACTGCTGAATCATCCGTCTCATATTTTGTCAAGCATTGACATATGTATAAAGTAGACATTCTAAAATGTAACACTGACGCACTCCGCCCATGACAAAATGCTGTATAAGGGGGAGGGGGGGGGGGGAGGAGGTCCCAGGAACATTATAACGCCACGCAAAGCAGACAACAAGAGTGACATGGCAACTAAACGATAAAGAAAGATAAAAATACGCGCCGAGATCGCGAATCATTCACACTTGTAGTAATCCTACTTTCTAGTGAAAATAAATAAACAAGTGTTTCTCGCTTTTCATGAAACGACAAAACTTTAGTTTTATTAGAATTAAATAATAAAAAGAAATCTCCGCACACCAATTTAGTATACTCGACACATCTGTGTTGTCAGGGCCTCAGGAACTCAGGACTCAACCAGCGTCTGTTGAGAATCAGCCATTTAATCATCTGTCTCCAGCGTCCCTCCCTTTTCTGCATCGTCGTCTTTTCCGGCCCACGCCTCGCGATAACTATAGCTCCTAGCACATCTCCCCCTTTTAGCTAAGGGCTAAAGCGTACTATGGGTTTGACTACTCGGCCATTTCGGGTCACAACGTGATCGGAATGTGCGGTCCCATAGGTCGGCTCTAGTGTTCTTTCTGCAATCCTATCTTGCGATGGAAGGTCAGGTGATTTGGGCACTGTCGGAATCGGGACGAGATGAAATCGGTTCCGACTGAGATTCCCATCCTGTGTGTTGACGGAGTAGGACCTTGGAGTGGTTCACCGACGACTGCACTATTCCAGTTTCGCGTCGATCAATTATCCACACTCTATCCCCAGGCATCAAAGGTTGAAGCCGGCGGGCACCGTGTCGTCGGTCATAATTACGCTTCTGATTCATGATCCTACGTTCTTCCCAAAGATTGAGGGCTTCTTTATCTACCTGACTTGACTGAAGAAGGGAGTCAGTCGTTGGTAGAGAAGTACGCAATCTCCTTCCCATCAACAACTCTGCTGGACTGTAGCCGTTACCCAACGGTGTCGAGCGGTAGGTTTGTAACGCGACGTAGCTGTCCCCAGTTTTCTTCAAACTACGTTTGATAATGCCAACGGCAACTTCCACGAAGCCATTACTTTGGGGGTAATGTGGATTGGATGTTCTGTGTTCAAAACCCCAACTTTCGGCGAACTTTTGGAACTCCGACCGTTGTATTTTTCGGAATTGTGGTCCGTTATCACTAAAGACTACTTCAGGTGTTCCATGTCTTGCAAAAAAAGACTTCAAGTGAGTTATTATTGTAGTCGCCGTCAGACTGTTGAGAAGTGCAATCTCTGGAAACCTTGAAAAGTAGTCGGTGACGAGGAGGTAGTCTTTTCCTTCCATGTAAAACAGGTCCATTGCGACTTTTTGCCATGGTCGATTTGGAAACTTTGATGGAAGCAGTGGTTTGTGTC